CATTCTAGAAGTCGATGATAAATGCTTCGAAGCATTTGTAGCGTCAAGTGGACCGCAGCCAATATCATAAGCTCGGATTCTCATACGAGCAACAGCGCTCTGACACCAAACGCTGATTAGTGAAAAGCCGGTTGTGGGAGTAAAATTTACTTCCACAATTGGCTTTTCACCAATCACCTCTCCGTGTCAAAGCGCTGTTGCCCGTATGAGAAGGCTCCGATTGCACACATTGCATGTTGCACACATGCGTCGCTAATTGGCTAATTTAAAAATAAAATATTCTCAGTAGTAAAGCAGTGAAAAATTACTAGGCACCAGCTGATATGAGTGGTGTGTGCAATCGGGATTGTAGGCAAACGGGATCCTCCCGCCCATATGAAAATTCGGGCTTAAAAGACTAAAAAATATTAGAAAAATAAGATAAAGTAAAGGGTCCTCTACATAGAAGTCGTAGATGGTCGTGGAGTCTCATGCGGGGTCTACAATAGAAGTCGTAGCAATCGTAGGGTCTTAAGTCGTAGAAAATTGACCAATCATAGTCGATTATTCTTCTCATATTCTACTGTGATTGGTTAATTTTCTACGACTTATGACTTTACGACTGCTACGACTTCTATTGTAGAACCCGCGTTAAGTTGTAGGAAACCAACCAACCACGATCAAATATAAGGAGAATACTCGATTGGAATTGATCAGTTTCCCGACTTAAGACTCGACGACCATCTACTTCTATGTAGAGGACCCTTAAGATAACAGGATTCCGATGGATTTGTTTCGTATCATCGGAATCCTGTTTTCTGATTGGTTGCAGAGCGTCGTACGACGCAAATCGGATGCAGTGTAAATCCAGCATTAGCGAAGAGCGTTGAACCACGGTATAACTAATAGCGTGCATTCGTTTATGCAGCGGTTAACGCAGTATCTTAATCTTTGTGCAACACTCGGTGAACAACAAGGATAAAGTAATACTTCTGCGCTAACTGCTGCATAAACGAATGCACACATAGCGTTTTTCTGCCAATGAAAAACGCTATAAAATACCTATGTCTGCGTTCAGCAGACTCAACAGTTTTGCAACCGTTTTGTTATTCTTCGCTGAGATAGGACTATTCCTTTAAATCTAAAAATATAATCCAATCAGCGCGACAAATCATAAAACGGTTGCAAAACTGCTGAGTCTGCTGAACGCAGCCATAATTAATAGCGTTTTCGGCCAGATCGGGTTTGCACCAACCTGAGTTGGATTAATGGCGTTTTGCGCTCTCCTATTGGTAGAGCGGGTGACGTCAACCAATAGGAAAGATTAAACCAACCCAGGTTGGTGCAAACCCGATCGGACCGAAAACGCTACAAGTAGAACGCAGAGCTCATATTCGCATCTGCTCGCATTGCAATATTTCGTAGCTATGACAGATTTCCTAACCTGAATAGTCGTCGGCTTTTACGATTAATATTTCGGTTCACGAGATAAAATAACGTTCTTTTTTCTTGTCAAATCTTAATTTTTACGAAAAATCGTATCGATTGACTGCATTTTTGTCAAGATAGGGAGTAGATGAAGTATTTTTAATATTGAAAAGGAAAAAGGAAAAATTGTAGCATCGACAAAGTCCACATAACAAATAATCCACATGATTGAAAATGATTGAAAAAACAAGAACGATTGTATATATATACATGTTTTCATAGCGATGGCTATCACTATTAATGAACTGTGATGAACACAGTGAAATAAGGTGAAATGGCTACTAGACAGTATATTGGTTGATGGATAAATCATTTCGTTGTAAAGCGAATTCAAAGTGGCAGTTGGATTTATGGAAATCGTTAATCAGAATCTTATTATCGGATTCGAAACGTCGAATAATTGAGAATATTAATTCCGTCCCTAATATGTAGTCCCTTTGTAAGGGTGGATAAATTAGGTTAAGACCGAATAGACTTAATTTACTTTTTCTATCAATATCGAACTACCGGTTAAAGTTGACGAGAATTGCTGAATTTAGTATTTACAATTGGTGTAGAGTTTGAATATAAATTCAATGCAAAATCAGATTTGTAATAATGAGGACTAGAAAGACTATTGCCATTCTTGGAGCTGGTTTGATCCTGGCTTGCTGTGTGATGATCTATTTAATGATGGACCTAACTCTTCTTCCTCCTGGA